CAGTGTAGACTATTAAGTGGTCGCCAAATTATATGATAAATTGTATTTGATTTTATAGGCGGCTTTAAGGGGGTAGGATAAATTTTGAGATGAAATAGGACAACATTTATTTCTGTAAAAATTACTATCCTATTAAATGTAATTTATAAAGTTGTTTAGATATTTCAGCAAGCTCATAATGTTATAATAATGAATTCATTGTAAATAATGGAGGTTTAATTGAATTATCTGAAAAATATCCTATATATTTACAAAATATCGATAGTTGGTAGTAGAGATAGATTAATGTAAGTTATCCTTTATAAATTCTCTGAAAAGAGTATCATTATAATTAAAAAGATGGAAATAAGAATGGGAAAACAGAGCCGCCGAAGGCTGCAAATTTTTTTTAGGAAGGGGGGGGGGGTAGGTAAAGGTTTTTAAAAGGGGTTTGCACCCAGTGAAAATTCTGTCATGTAGACGCTGTGCTTAAATCAATTATTCATTATCAATATTGTTAACGCTACTCTCAAAAAATATCGCGTTACATCTACAACTACTTTTCCAAAAAAAGTAACTTCACTTAGTGATTAGCTATTTTTCAAAAAAATAATGCGATTTTTTAAATGTTTCATAGCTATTTTAATAGCCACTAGAAAAATTGTGTCTATCTCTTAATGGCTAATAAATAAAATATTGCAGCCCCTATTATATATTTTTTTTTATAGTTGTAGATGAAATCTTTATTAAAATTTAATATATATTAAATAACACCTAATAAAATATTTTTGCAAAAAATAATTAATTAATATGTTTTAAGAGGAGATGACTCTCAAAGCTTACCATCGAGCATATTTTATGTCACCAAAAAACAACTTTTACTAGACTAGATCACTTAACTGGAGAACTGGGTGGTATTAAGATTATTGTATTTAATGAAGGGGAGTTTAAAAGAGTGCTCTTTATAGAAATCTGATATGGATGATCTCAAAGTTATTTATTATTATAATCAATATTAATGATTATTTTTCATTATCCATTGGATTCATCATCAAAATATGTGGAAGAAGATCTCATTTTATTAGGTGATATATTTTTTTAATGTTGAGATACTGGAGACGAAAAAAAAATGATGAAACATATAAAATCCTGATCTAATCTAAGAATTAATTTATCGTTTATTATCCTGTTCGACCCACGTTTCAAAACCAAGTCTAGATTTCGTTAAAAAAAATGGTAAGAGAATTTAAATAAATGAATGTAAAGAAGCGAAAGATTTTAAATAAATTTAACATTTCAAATATATAAATTTTATTCATTTAAATTATAAAATCAAAAAATTATCCTTTTTCAAATTCATATTTCTTAACAATCAAATTGAAAGTTAAAAATTTTTATATCTCTCTAAGTTAACCTTACCCATTTTGTTTCCCCTCCCCCTATAAATATAAATGTAAACTTCTACACCCATTCCAATTAGAATAAAAAGTTTAAACTGGTTCCCAATCAACGAAACGGGACCCTAAGGACACATGGTAATATCAGTCACCTTTCAAAGATACTTACCCCCCCCCCTTCCGCCCTCTTCTACATTAACTCTTACATTTAACATTAAAATCCCCTTTACATATCCCAGCCCAGCTCTCACCACAATTACTAATTTGTATTTTAATGATGCATCACCTTGTACATTCAATGTGTTACCCCCCTTCTCCGATGAATTTACAGGAGGGTTAAAATTCAAAGGTTCTTATATTTGATAATTATTTCCTTCTAAATTCATGAAAAATAAATTTAATTTTTTTTTCTCGAGGAGTTATTTTATTTTTTATTTCTTCCCATTTTTTAAATTTTCTGGTTTATAATACTTCCATTTTATCGTTTGATATCTTCTTCTTTTTTTTTAATTTGTATAAAATTCTAAAGGTGATAATATGCTAATTTTCATGTGGTCTGGGTCTAGAATAGGATCACCGTCTCCTCGACGGGGTGTAAAAATCAACTAAAGGGGTTGATGTCAGAAAGATTGTAAAAAACCTTGCCACAAAATTTCCTAATGAATAAATGAGAGGGAAAATTGGCCAACCTGTAAATCGTTATTTAGGAGAAGAAGAAGGAATACGTTGCTTATCTCGTTATATATCAATTTTACAAAGTGAAATATTGGGAAATTTGTGGCAGACGGGAGCGCCCTCCGGCAAATTTCCCTATTCCACTACCCCCCTATCCTTCCCCCACCTACACCCTCACCCCCATGATTATCAAAAGTTCAAAAGTAAAAAATTATTTTTATAAAAATTAGCCCTAAGGCTTACTATAGTTGGACGTAAGGATCTCCAATTAAATTTATGGGGAGAAAACATACCTAATAATGCACCCATTCCACTTAACAAAATCTCTGATTCTCCCATGTTTTGTAGTGTAGGTAACAATATTTTATTATAAATGGTAATTAAGGGCTATGATGCGATTAAAATAAAACATTTAATAAATTAATTTTAAAAAATTTTACTTGTAAATTATGCATATTTATTATTTTATACTCATTATAAAAATAATATATATATAAATGGTGTAATTTTTAGTCAAATATTTCTTTATGTTTCCCTAAACCCCAAACCTTTTACCGTTCACATCACCGCTATCAATTGGCGAATTTTTTTTTCTCATAAAAATATGAAGTCACTACTTAAAAAATGGTAGCAGATTGCTTTAGAGTTACTAATTAAAAGCATCGTTTATTTTTAAATATATTAAAATTTTAATATGTAGCATGTATATAATTTTGTAAACAATGCAATCGAATTTTAAATTGTACATATTTGTGGATAAATTTTATAACAAAAACATGGTAAATGAGTTTTTCCTTTTATATATAATATTTTTTCAAAATTTAATATAATTTGTTTCAAAATATAATATAATTTGTAAGTTTTTTTTCTTATCATATTTTCCATCACGCTTTCGTTTCTGACTAGTGATTTCTATTTCATCTAGAGCGGTTATTTTTAATTTAGATATCTCTTCCAAAAAGAAACGATAAAAAATACACTTATAACATTTTGAATCGAAGTTTAAGGAAAAATAATTCTTAAATCTTGTACCCCCCCCCCTCAATGATTGAATGGGCAAATCAAAGAGATAAAGAATTGAGTATTTTATTAAGTTTAACTTGAAGATCCAACCTTCAGCTTCTGCTAAACGCCTTTTTATCGTAAAAATTCTGTTTATACTTTTAAACTGGCTTCCTCGTAGTGTGTTGTTAAATGGCCAAATTAATATTTTAGGCAAAATAATATTATGTAAGTCTCAAAATTTGGCAAATATATGTCCATACCCTTTCTGCCATCTATTGAACAAAATCTCCAGAATACACATTTTAGTGAATCATATATACCAAAATGTATCCCACATGATTTGATTTTTTTTAAAAAAATTAACAATTAATCATTTGTAAAATCATAAATTAAAGTGTTAATCATGTATTACCTCCTTTATTTTCACTTATTCTTTGAAACAATTTACAATATTGTTAAAATAAGTCTAGAAAATAAAAAAATTTAAATTCTGAGCCATAATAGGGCTTAAAATTTTACCTTGTTTAAGTTCTATTAAATTTAGTATTGTATGTATAACAAATAATTTGAGATTGGTAAAGAAGAATATGGCCACATTGTACTTTGAAAGCTCATATTTCCAGATTAGTGGACATGTGCAAGGGCTTTAAAAAAAATATGGACATAATTGTGGTTTTATGTTAAATCAAGAAAAATGTTTGAGTAATAATCTTTAAAAAATAAATTTTTTTTGACACATTTTATAGAATTCTGGGTTTCCAGAAAATGATTTATGAGACTGTCCAAATCTTATTTTTTTTTATATAAAATCGAAGAATTATGACAAAATATTTGAATAAATTGATTAGAATTATTGAATGTTTTATTTTTAGAAAGGATGATTTCTTTATTTTCATTAGAATTTTAAACCAGTCTCAGCCAGTTCGGTTTCCAGCAAACTGTGTGGAAATTTGAGCTATAAGAAGTAAATTTTTTTTAGTGTCAGCATGACTGGGCAAGTCATCAATAATAAATTAGGACTGAATCTACCTTTACTAAGGATATATTTAAGACAAAACTTTGAAGTTTTAAGTATTTTTTAAATTTGTATACTATATAGATTTGCAAAGAACTTTTGCACAAATAACAGCTATAGTTTGTTAAATTTTTTGCCCTGAATAGTATGTTGTTTTTGTTAATTTGCCCAGATCCATTAATTTTTTTTACTAATTTTTTGGCTATTACATCTTTAATATCTAATTTTCCCCCAATGTCAAATAAAGCTATTATAACTCTCCTTTAAGTTTCTATTTCTTTCTTCAACACAAATTTTATAATTATATGTTTGATATCTGTATTGTTTTTGTAGTTATCATAAATAATTTGTTCGATTTTTTGTGAATTTACTCTATTATTTATATATTTCATTTTTTAGTTAGACAGGTATAGGATTGAAATTCAAAATTCTAAGTTGGCCCATTATATTTTGTGAAAAATCTGAATTTGTGAGGCCCTGCCTGATTTAATATAATTTATCTTGCCTGGCCCAAAGATGAGATTTTTCATGGAATTATATATATAATTGTAAAACACTTAATAAAAGAAAGTTATTGAAAATTATGGATTTGCGTTTTAATTTAGTTATAAATAATATTATTTAAATTCCATTTGATTTATACATCTTGTTATATAAATTTTATTCAAAATCATATATGAATTGTTTAAATATTGTTAATTCATGAATTATATAATTTCTTTCTTAATATAACACAATTTTATGTTAGGTAACAAATTTTCTTCCCCATTCCATATATTCCTTAAAAATTTAAATAATTATTTATTAATATTTAATAATATACTTGAAATAATGAAGTTGTTTTTGTGAGGTTATATCAGGTACAGCTAAAAAATATATTTTTATAAAATTTATATATTGCTTTCTGAATATTATGATTACCTAAGCCTCCACCTTCAAATTCATTCATCTCAGAGTTTTTAGTAAGAGTTATTGCTGTTTTTCTTGGAACATGTCTCCTACCTTTTCTATCTTCATTAATGGTATTAATTATGCGTATCTGATCTAATTCATCATCAAATCTATTAATATAACTAAAATGTGTAATGTAAAATATGTGGCAGATAAAACCTTATTAATTAGCAATTATTTGCCTCAATTCATTTACCGAATAAAATGTTTTATCAATATCTGTAGAAGTTATATGATTTTTAAACCACAATAATTTTTTAATCATTAAATTAGTTTTTTCATTTCTTTGTCGATGAGATTTTGATGCCTTTTTATAATGACTCGCTTCACCGAGAAGCTTTTGAGCTTTACGGCTTTTGGGGTGAACAATTTTAATCTTTTGATTTTTTTTTTGCTATAATTTTAGTTTTGGTTTTTGTCTAAAAATATAATTAACATTGATTCATATGTTAACATTATTTACTGTACCATCTTTGAATGAGTGATATATATGTTGGGTCAATATTTAAATACATTCATTTAATTTGTATTTAATAAATTTAAAAAAGAAAATCTATTTCAAAATTTCATTTATATAATTAACTTTAATTGAATTCTTTTTGCTTTTGGATAAATGGGTAAAATCAGGTTTTCATACACAATTTCTTTCGACGAAAACACCTTCAGTTATCGGTACTTCGGTATTAACAATGTTGAAATTTCAGGAAACATATTTTTTTAATGTTTACTTAAATGATTTTAAAAACCCGAATAAATAAGAAACCCAAATAAATAAAAATATTATTGTTAAATTAAATCAATTATTTTTAATTACCTACTTACCATTTAGTGATTCACTGAAAGATAATATATTTGATAAAAATGGTGAGATTCCAATAGAAAAATCATAATAAATTAAAGTAAGAATTTAAACAAAGCAAAGTCTATAGTGCTTTGCATTATCTGCAATTATGTAACTTATTAGAGCCACAAGCACTTTACTCTAATTGATGGTAACTAAATTCCTATTATTGAATTCCGAAAGAACCATTTAATTTTTAAAAAATTTTACATAATTTAATAAATAATATATTGTTAAATTGAGAGAAGGCATGATCAAAAAATTTAATATCTAGTTACTTTAGTTTTTAAAATTTTAACCAGTCAATATATAGCATTGCTAACATGGAGGTAAATTTGAACACATATACCATATGAAATTATATGAAAAACATGCTTTCGCTTTTTGATAAATTTTGTCGTCTAAATTTATATAATAATTTTATTAGAAATGATACTATTACACTTCATAAATTTATACATAGCACAAATATAATAAATGATAATATTTTTACTAGAAGTTTAAAATGTTATTTTTCTAACTTACATTATTGTTTATAATATCTGCTAGTGAATTATGGAAAGGAGTTACCAGTGTTAGTCCAGAGGGCAAAAAGAGAGGAAGAGGAAAAGGAAAAAATAGGAAAATAGTTAGGGATCTTAATAAAGGTCAAATTTTAGGATTTGGTAATAATGATAAGCATTATAAATGAAAGTATTGATAGGCCTGGATTAAATGCGCCTGTATTAGAGCAAGGTAGGCAGATGCTAAAAATTAAATCCTTACCACCTGATCCTGACAGGGAAAAACGTATGCATGAATTGAGGTATGATTGATTTATTTTAACAATTTTATTGAAATTATGATTATAGTGCATTCACTCTTTATATTACATAATTGTATATTGTGAAATTTATACTTTCATGATCCTTTTCCTATATTAAAACATTAGAGCCAATTCATGTCAAATCAAACACCTCACCCACCTCGAAACTTTTAATAAACTTTTATTTGTAAATAAAATATTAATTAGATAATAACTTATAACTTTTAGTAAACTTTTATTTGTAAATAAAATATTAATTAGAAAACTCAATAATTAGATAATAACTTTTATTTGTAAATAAAATATTATTTAGAAAACTCAAAAAGGTAATAATTTCATAATCTATAATGAATATACCTACCATAAGAAAGGTATAAATGCAACATATTATACCTGTAGAAAAAGATGTGGAGGTAGAGGTAAATTGATGGCAGATTACAAATTTGTCATTAGTATGAAATATCATATAACTTGCAATCAAGGTACATGAATTTAATGTGATATAGTAAATATATTTAATAATTTAGAGACAAATTCAATTCAGTCTACAATCAACTTTTTCATAAGAGATACTCAATCCTTTCCTGTTGAAAGTATAAATTTTTTACCAATTGTTTTTAGTATGTTTAATGATTTTACCAAATTTAATTCAGCCCACCTAAATATAGTAGAGGGTGATAATATATTAACAGGAGAAGCATCTATTGAAGGTTATTATATATTATTATATGAAAATAGGGATTGAGTATTTCTTATGAGAAAGTTGCTTGTAGACTGAGTAGAATCTATTCCTAAATTATTAAATATAATACAATAAATAAAGTAAACTATTGTTATACTTTCAATAATAGTGAGCAAAGCCTGTGCATCATTTTCTACTACATTATAGGTTGGCTGAATTAAATTTGGACCTATAATCATTAAACATACTAAAAACAATTGGTAAAAAATTTATACTTTCAACAGGAAAGGATTGAGTATCTCTTATGAGAAGGTTGCTTGTAGACTGATATGAATTTGTCCCTAAGTTATTAAATATATTTACTGTATAACATTAAATTAATGTACCTTGATTGCAAGTTATATGATGTTTCATATATGACAAATTTTTAATCTGCCATCAATTTACCTCAACCTCCACATCTTTTTCTACAGGTATAATATGTTGCATTTATACCTTTCTTATGGTAGGTATATTCATAACCTCTATAGATTATGAAATTATTTCCTTTTTGAGTTTTCTAATAAATATTTTATTTACAAATAAAAGTTTATTAATTATTATCTAATTATGTTATTACCTTTTTGAGTTTTCTAATTCATATTTTATTTATAAAATAAAAGTTTATTAAAAGTTATTAACTAATTAATATTTAATTTACAAATGAAAGTTTATTTAGAGTTATTATACTTGAATATCTAATTCTCTACGCCTAATAATTTTTAAATTTTCAGAGACTGTTGGGATTTTCATTGTAAAACTAATTATATACTTTTCTTTATATCAAAAATTGTTGCCATAAAATATTTTTGGGAACATTTTTAAAAATATTCATGTTTTGGTTTTTGCTATTGTGTGGCCAGGCCTACCTCTTTCAATTTTGATAAGAATTTAACAGACTTTCACCCCCCCCCCTAAATTACTACCTGCCCCCACCCCCTCTTATATAATCAAAAATTAACAAAATACTGACATAAATTATTTATAATGTTATATAATAGTTTTGGATATTTAAAAGAACCTTTTATTGCCAAGAAATGGATAGGATTATCTATAAAAATTTTTATAGATTTGTTTGTAATAAATTTTGAAAAATTAAACAGCTGTACCAATTATTGAAAATATTATTTATAAAAATAGTTAATTTTAGGAAAATTTTTTATAGCCTTTCATTGGCATAACATTTGATGAATTATGCCATCATAATTTCTTTATCACTCCTAAAGATAATCTTTTAAATTTGGCATTGATTTGTATATTTTTAACTTTTTCTGAAGCTATCTTGCTTATAGTTTTATCAAATCAATCAATTTTTGAAGCTTTAATTAAAAAAAATTTAAAATACTCTCATCAAACGCCCCTTTGGAATATAATCAACTATTACAAAATGCTGACTATACTAGTGGTTATGAATGATGGGAAGTATTACCAAGTCATTACCTAAATAACCTCTTATCAGAAGAACAATTAAGAGTTGCCATAGGCCATCGAATTGGATATAACATAATTCAACCACATACATGCATAAATTATAAATTAGTTGATTCCAAAGGGATACATGGTCTCACTTGAATATATACTCGAGACAGACATGCAAGACACACCACGATTAATTCACTTATTAGCCGTTTTCTTATGAGGGCCCAAATACTAAAGATCCTGTAGCCTGCTAATTTATCATCAGAGGTGACCTAAGGCTAGATTTTTGTACCTTGGTCTTTAGGTAAATCCTTAATATAGAACTTCACACGTATCTCTTCATTTCTAAAAAAAATGTAAATCCTAATCTGGATGATATAGCTAAGAAGAAAAAAAAATTATAAATCGTTATTTCTTCCCTTGGACATATGTCAATCGGAACTTTAAATTTTTTTAATATATAAAGGGTAAAATAAAGAGCCCTTACATCAGTACCCAGGAATTTCACTTTTTTCAAACAAAATATTTAATTTCATTAAAATGTCTTGTTTTTTTGGGGAACTTGTAGTTTTTCAATTCCGAATCTATAGAATTTGTGCAATGATTGGAATATATATTAGTACTGATAGAAAATGTTTGTATATTTTATTGGTCTATTGTTTATTCCTCCATCGTTGTTTTTATTGAAGAAAGAGCTTATTGGCAAATAGAAAAAAAATCATGCGAATTTAAATTTCATTAATCAACAAAGGTTATCAATATTTTTTTTCAATCGTCTCTCATGATTAGGAGTGTTAATGCTCATCTTCGACTGAATAAATGCCGGCAAATATAAGATAGGATCGGGTGCAACCCTAAATAAGATTTTTGGCCAGCCCTTTTCAATTTCGATAGAAAAATTTGTAGGCATATCAGATATAATTCGATTAAAAACTAAATATTTTAGCTCGTTAGAAATTTTATTATTTGAGTTTGATATCTCCCTGTTTTTTGCTGATAATGAATAACTAGTAAAAAAAACGAAATCGAATTGGAACATTAACTTTAACTTAATTAATAATTTTTATAAAAAAATATCCGAACCGGGCCGTATATTTGAAAACCGAATATTTGAAATCGCCATTATTAGCGATAAAAATATAATATATTTTTTTAAATCCGGTCTCGACCTGGAAATTTTTTTTAAAAAAAAACCGGGTCGGTCCGAAAAAAATTATCCGGGGTGGGCCATTCAAATAATGCCTTTGCAGGTCTCTGAAAAATATTAAATAGTTTTTTGGAGGTTCCTATAAACAGCACTGGAGAATGCTGAAGAGTTGAGTTTAGAAACGTTCATAAAAATTATAAAATCTATGGGTAACGCAAGTTTTTAAGGAAACGTATAAAATGTTAACATGTATAATCTAGGTTTCGAGACGAACACAATTTTATGTGACAAATGAAAATATTCGTAAAATAGATGTAGGGATTTTAGCTCTAAGTGAAAAGAAGAGAAGAGAAGAGAGGAGAAGAGAAGAGTAATATATATTATCAACTATAATTTAACGTTTGCTAGAAAAATATATATATAACTAGTATATATGCCACAGAACAGTAGCTCTTGCAAGACACGCAGCGATTAATTTCAGTTATTAGCAGTTCTCTTATCAGGGATTAAATTACTAAACATCCTGGAGCCTGCTAATTTATCATCAGAGGTATATATGCAACAGATAATA